GAAGCAGAAAAAATAAGGTGCCAATAAATGGTCATTTAAAAACTAGATTTTACCAGTGAGTGAGGCACAGTGCACAGTCTGAATGTCAATTCTCTCTCTCTCTCTCTCTCTCTCTCTCTCTCTCTCTCTCTCTCTCTCTCTCTCTCTCTCACTTTCTCTCTCTCTCTTTCCTTTTCCCATTTCCTTCCCTTTCCCTATGCACCCCTCTTCCAATTCACTCCCTTATTCCTCTTCCTTTTCTGCCTCCGTCTTACCTTCCCCTCCCATTCAGTCCATCCTCTCTCTGTCTCCCAATCCTATGTGATTGCCAGGGTATTGCTTTGTTGCTAAAATGTTTTAAATGGGTGTTGGAATATTGCTCTGCTGCTTCCTAGCCAAATCAAATATCCCAACAATAAAGTTGTGGTCACATTTACTGTTGTTCAGTTGGTTTTCAATTGCAAAATCCAGTTTTCAATAGGAACCCACAAGAACGGGAAATTCATGTGAGGTTAAAAGATTTTTTGTTGATTTCGTCAAGTTGGTCACGTGGATTCGTCGCATTGACCAACAGAAATCTGCTAAGTGTGTAGTTGACTTCTGTGTGACATGCTTCATACTACATCACTACACTCTTGACAATAGACAATGGGCCCTTTTGCCCGCAAAGTTTCGCTAATGTGACAGCACCTTAAAACTCTATGGCCTGGTTTCACAGACAGGGCTTAGATTAAGCCAGGATTAGGCCTTCGTTAAATTAGGACATTAAGTAGCTTTTATAAATGTGCCTTAGAAAAAAAACATTATTTGTCTGCATCTTGAGACAAAACAATGGCACTGACATATTTTAAGCTTTATATATATATATATATATATATATATATATATATATATATATATATATATATATACAGGTCCTTCTAAAAAAATTAGCATTTTGTGATAAAGTTCATTATTTTCCATAATGTAATGATAAAAATTAAACTTTCATATATTTTAGATTCATTGCACACCAACTGAAATATTTCAGGTCTTTTATTGTTTTAATACTGATGATTTTGGCATACAGCTCATGAAAACCCCAAATTCCTGTCTCAAAAAATTAGCATATTTCATCTGACCAATAAAAGAAGTGTTTTTTAATACAAAAAAAAAGTCAACCTTCAAATAATTATGTTCAGTTATGCACTCAATAGTCAATACTTGGTCGAGAATCCTTTTGCAGAAATGACTGCTTCAATGCGGCGTGGCATGGAGGCAATCAGCCTGTGGCACTGCTGAGGTGTTATGGAGGCCCAGGATGCTTCGATAGCGGCCTTAAGCTCATCCAGAGTGTTGGGTCTTGCGTCTCTCAACTTTCTCTTCACAATATCCCACAGATTCTCTATGGGGTTCAGGTCAGGAGAGCTGGCAGGCCAATTGAGCACAGTAATACCATGGTCAGTAAACCATTTACCAGTGGTTTTGGCACTGTGAGCAGGTGCTAGGTCGTGCTGAAAAATGAAATCTTCATCTCCATAAAGCTTTTCAGCAGATGGAAGCATGAAGTGCTCCAAAATCTCCTGATAGCTAGCTGCATTGACCCTGCCCTTGATAAAACACAGTGCACCAACACCAGCAGCTGACATGGCACCCAAGACCATCACTGACTGTGGGTACTTGACACTGAACTTCAGGCATTTTGGCATTTCCTTCTCCCCAGTCTTCCTCCAGACTCTGGCACCTTGATTTCCGAAATGACATGCAAAACTGAGCAACAGTCCAGTGCTGCTTCTCTGTAGCCCAGGTCAGGTGCTTCTGCCGCTGTTTCTGGTTCAAAAGTGGCTTGACCTGGGGAATGCGGCACCTGTAGCCCATTTCCTGCACACGCCTGTGCACGGTGGCTCTGGATGTTTCTACTCCAGACTCAGTCCACTGTTTCCGCAGGTCCCCCAAGGTCTGGAATCGGTCCTTCTCCACAATCTTCCTCAGGGTCCGGTCACCTCTTCTCGTTGTGCAGCGTTTTTTGCCACACTTTTTCCTTCCCACAGACTTCCCACTGAGGTGCCTTGATACAGCACTCTGGGAACAGCCTATTTGTTCAGAAATTTCTTTCTGTCTTACCCTCTTGCTTGAGGGTGTCAATGATGGCCTTCTGGACAGCAGTCAGGTCGGCAGTCTTACCCATGATTGCGGTTTTGAGTAATGAAACAGGCTGGGAGTTTTTAAAAGCCTCAGGAATCTTTTGCAGGTGTTTAGAGTTAATTAGTTGATTCAGATGATTAGGTTAATAGCTCGTTTATAGACCCTTTTCATGATATGGTAATTTTTTGAGACAGGAATTTTGGGTTTTCATGAGCTGTATGCCAAAATCATCAGTATTAAAACAATAAAAGACCTGAAATATTTCAGTTGGTGTGCAATGAATCTAAAATATATGAAAGTTAAATTTTTATCATTACATTATGGAAAATAATGAACTTTATCACAATATGCAAATTTTTTGAGAAGGACCTGTATATATAGTTATATATAGTGAATAAAAATGTGAAATCACATTATTTGAGTCATAATGTTTAGAAAAATATCAGTTTTTTCTTTGTTCCTGCCCTTTAAGGGTTACAACTGTAATTGGTTTCTGAGGGTGTACTGCTCAAATATGAATTTTGCTGCAAGAGCTGCATAACTGACCTCCCCATTAGTTATTCTCTTATTCTGTCTCTATCCTTGTCTCACTGTCCCTCTGTCTCTGTCTGTCTCTTCCTCTTTGTCTCTACACCTCTCTGCGACCTCTCCTGTCCTCTTTTTTTCTCTCTAACTGAGCACATCTTTTTAATGCAGTCCTTTTTTAACGTCTCATTCTCACTCTGCCACCGTCCATGTCGCTTCCTCTCCCATCTCTCATCGCTCTTTTTTTTTCCCCCCCTCTCCCTTCACCCCTTTCCTCTCCCCCTCCTCCCCTTCATATCAGTCCAGCTGATGAGAGAGGCACCCTCATAATCAAAGCATGACATGGAAAATTGTATGGAAATAAGAATCTGGATAGAACAGCTCCACGCCTGGGATCCACCTTTAATTACCTGCTCTTTTCATATTTATAGAACAGTCCGTCTCACAAGAGAGTTTGCCGCTCTGATGAGGCTGTTATCTGACATGACCACCTGCAATTAGTCAGTCGGGGGACCCATGCCCAAGTCCCCTCAAATCTGATACAAATCCTTAGGCTTTTACATGTTTGTTTATTATTAACACATCTTATTATTAGTCTAAGTGAAAGCCCATTCACAACCCATTTTTAGTTTCTAATATTCATTTTCGAGTAAAACATGATACAAACAAGATTTTGGAATTAATTTTATCCAACAGCAAATGATTGGATAATGAACAGGGAGCCAGATGCTAGAATGGAGCCAAACCTGAGTTCTAGTTTGTTAAAACAATGCCCAAGTAGTTATTTGGCTATTGATTAACATATCTGATAGCCAACAGCAAAGAAAATGTGTTTGTTTTTAATTAAAGATTTACAAGTCAACTTATTACTTATTAAAGACTATTTCTTTGATTTGGAATAATGCGCACCAATGAATCGTTCACAACAAGAGCAGGAACATGCATTAAGGATGTAAATGGGGTTATGACTATCTATCCCTGACTTTATTAGTATAGCTAATGTCAGTTAAGTCATGATACACTACTTCACTGGTTGTATTGTGTGATAATAAGGCTGTGTTTTGATTGGATATTGATTGCAATGTAATGGTCTTGTCACATATGAGCACATCCATTCAATAACATTACATGAATTGTACTGACACTGGTATACTGTAATATAAATGTGTAGTGTAACTGAATTACTGTAAGTGTGATAATATAATGTGAGCCAGTAAGTACTATAATGAAATTGTAGTTTTAATTCAGAAAAATCGGTATGGTATTTCAAAACTCCCTCGTAGTAGTAGTCATATCAGCATTGAAGGTTGCCGTCTGTACTACAGCATAATGAATAATTGATCATGAACATTTCTCGCTGTTTTTCCTCAGGTCTTAAGCAACGCAAGGCCACAAGACTCTATGAGCTGAGGAGGAAATTGTCGTGGCGACAGATGTGACGCTCCTCCTCTCCCCAGCGTCAGCTGCGGCTCTAGTCTGTTTGCTTCCACGGACCTCGGAGCAGCCATAACTCGACCCGCCTCCGTCCTAGAGGTGCCATTCGCAGGAGAGAGAGGGAGTGTCTGGTGTGCCAAAGCTCATTCCTGAACTCCTGAAGGGAGGAGCCCTGGGAATTGGAGGGATAGCTGGATTGATGAGGGTGTGGGAGAACAGAGCGTGAGCCGCTCTCCAAATCTCCATCCGAGTGCTGGGCTCCTTAATCATTTCATCCTCTCAGAGACTTCAGCTTTACTTATTCTGGAGGATTTTTTGCTCTCAGACTTGATTTCTTTCACTATATGTTTCTTTGCTCAAGTCAATGCACCCTTCATCAAAATTGGCAGGTGGGCCAGAAGAACGATTCTCTGTGAAACTAAAAGCAATAACGTGTAAGTTAGAGTGAGGCTGCCCAGGAAAGCAGGGTAAAAGTGCTGACTGTTCTTGGAGTGTTTGAGTTCAAGTGTTTATGTGCGTGTATGTGAGACTCAGAAGGCCTGTGCGGCAATGGATGAGGGTTTGTGCGGAGAGCTGACAGGAAGAGGCAGCTAGACGTCGGAGAAGAACTGAAGCCGCTATGTGTGCGCAGGAGAGTGCGTTTGTGTGCGAATATGTGTGCGAGAGCGTGTGATTGTCTCTTGGAGTGCAGAATTCTGAGAATTGGCCATTATTGCCGCTCCCTCCTATTTTTGTGTCGGAGCTGGCAGGGTCAACATTAACAGCAGGAGAGAGAGGGACAGATACAGCAAAAACTAAATAAATAACAGTGACACTTCAGTTTTTTTGTCACCATATTTTTGATGCCCATTGGGGATGTTCCTTTTCTTCTGAGTGCTTGAGCTTTGTAAAAAACCTACTTTTGTCCCATCGAACTGGATTATTATAAGAATCTCTCAGATGGATCATTTTTAGCTGGAATACCTTCTCCGTTGAGACTCTCCACACTACTCCATTTCTGTGACTTTCAACCTGTCATCCTAGAAGACGTGTTGCGATTCCCCGGAGGACTGCGTTCACTTGTTACCACGGCAATCCATGGCACCCTGTTCCTGACAAGGTCTGCTTCATTCTGTGAGTATTTTTATTCTTGCTGTGTGAGTGTGTGCATGAGTGAGCATTTGGAATGAATCTGTAACAGTTGTTTAGGCTTAAAAGGCTTTAAGCTTGTTTGTTTTGCCGGTCATGTAATGGTACGCTTGAAGTGATCGTACATGTGTTTTTGCTTTGCAGACAGTATGAGCCTTTTATTGCTGTGACGCCCACCATACTCTGTCACTGCCCATTAGATAAAGTTCCACTCATTTGTTTTTGTTTTCTCTTGTGTAACCTTCATTGTGTGTGGATTCGTACGATCCGACTCCCTCCATCACCTGAAACCGAATAGGGATGTGCCCTTAAACAGCCCAGTGAACTATGAATAACATCACCACACACTCCCACCATATACACTTCCTACAGTGCTCTGCGGGCCTGTATATCCTCTTCTGAGTAAATGGAGTGCATTTATGGGTTTTTGTGGGCAGGCATGTAATAGGCCTATTTGAGCTTCTCGTTCACATTTGGGATACAGATTGGAATGCGAGAAAAGTGTTGCAGAATCTGAATTAAAGTTCACCCAAAAATGAAAATTATCCCATCATTTCTTACCCTCAAGCCATCCTAGGTGCACATGACCTTTTTTCTTTCAGCCAAACACAATCGGAATTATATTAAAATTATATTATAGCTCTTCTAAGCTTTATAATGGGAGTGAATACTATCCATCCATCCATCCATCATAAAAGTAATCCATATGGCTCCAGGGGGTTGATAAAGGCCTCCTTAAGTGAAGTGTTTTTGTAAGAAAAATATCCATATTTATGACTTTATAAACTAGAATCACTGGCTTCCTGTTACAACCGTTCGCGAGTCTAGTTCTGGCGTAAGAGTGACCTCTGACCCAACACATAATGAACACGGAGGATAGAGCAAAACAAAACACCGGTAAATGAATTAGAAGTCTAAAATGAGAATTTGAGCTTGAGTTTGTTGCCCAGCACTATTTGTTTGAGCCGTGAGAGGTGTCTAACCTCACCTAAGCTTACGCCTTTCCTACATCCTACGCATCATACGCCGGAACTCGACTCTCTCATGAACGCACAGACGGTCGTTACCGGAAGCTAGTGATTACATTTTGAGTTATAATTATGGATATTTTTCTTATATAAACGCATCGCTTTAGAAAGCCTTTATTACCCCCTGGAGCCGTATGGATTACTTTTATGATGGATGGATGTGCTTTTTTGGGCTTCAAAATCTTAGTTACTATTCACTCCCATTATAAAGCTGAGCCAGTATATTTTTTTATGTATAACTCCGATTGTGTTTGGCTGAAAAAAGAAAGTCAAGTACACCTAGGATGGCTTGAGGGTGAGAAAATTGAGGCGGAACTCAACCACTGCACTATATGGCAGAGCGTTGCTCGCACGTCCATGGCTCTCTTTTTTGATGCTTTTATTGTGCTTATGCATTATTTTTGATGCCTGAAACTTCACTGTAATTATGTGGAACCGAGCGACCAGTACACTATTCAAAATATCTTGAGAAGCGTTAACAGGATATTCTTCCACAAAAAAACCCCATCATATATGTTTGTGGGTGTGTACATAATGATAGAACTTTTGTTTTTGGGTGAAATATCCCTTTAGCATTATATTTGAAACTGAAAACTAGAGGTGTTTTGTAATCTCCTCAGTGTGTGACTGTTCTCCACAGGTTTAGCAAATCCTTTTTGACATAATGGATGTGTCTCTGCTCTAATATAATAGCATGTCCTTTTGTCCTGCTGTCTTACTTCTGCTTATTGAGAGCAAAAAACACTTTTGGCCAAACTCTATTCAACTTTACTTGAAGGTTTTTTTCTGGGGTGGCAGTGGCTCAGTGGTTCATGTAGGTTGTCTACAAACCGGAAGGTTGGTGGTTCAATCCCCGGTTCCACCTGGCCAAGTGTCGAGGTGTCCATGAGCAAGACACCTAACCCCCAGCCTTGCATGGCTGACACCGCCGTTGGTGTATGAATGAGTGAGTGAATGGGTGAATGTGAGGCAAAATGTTGGTGGCCATTGGGTCTGTGAAAGCGCTATATAAATGCATGTTTTATGGCTTTTTGAATATTTTGATGCTTAACTGACATTACTGTCACCTATCCAGAGTCTGAATGCACAAGGCAGCTGCTTCTTTGACATCACCCAGTGTTGCCATATCAGTGGATTATTGTTACTTCTGTCTGGGCTACAAGACAGGCACATGTGTCCAAAAGTATTACGAGAGTTTACACTGCACTAAAATGGAACGTTCAGCAATAAACCTTCGCAGATTTGTTAACAGTAAGAAGCAGCTCTGTAATATCCTCATTCATCTCCAGTAATAACCTGCCAATTCTTATTAGTTAGGTCGCATTACTTATACGTTCACACCATTGTGATACCACAGAAAGATCATGCTGGTCTCATCAGCTTCTAAGATTGAAAGATGAATACTGTAGCCTACTTGTAATAAACAACAAAGCGGGATTTCACAAATATGATGAGGCCCTGTCTGGACTGATACATGTCTATGTAATTTTGCCAAAACGAAAGTATCAGATTCTGTGAGAATTTCCCTCAATATAAGCCCCAGATTTATTTCTACTTGTTTGGAGAACCACCCACAAAGTAATATTCAGTGGAACTGGAAAGGCCAAGCAAGGAAATAAAACTATGATTGTTGCACAGTAAGACATGATGAGGGTTCGACAGCGAGGATGGAAAAAGCAGCTTTATTGTAATGTTAGAGATTTCTAGCAGAGCTGTATTTGGCAGCAGTGAAGAGAGGATCATTGGATCTTCACTGAATGGAGTTTAGCGTAGTTTGTTCTTCAAGCTCCTAAAGATTCATTTGAGTTATTTATTGTTCAGAATTGCACACAGTTCACAACACAACCCCCCCATAATGGCAAGAATGAAATGACCTCCCCTAAAAGTCAACATCACAAATATGACATCAGTTCCAGTTCAGTGGTCCACTGGCAGCAGGATCGATTGTATTGATCTGAATAAGAGCTTGTCAGGTGTATTTGTGCGTGCGTGTTTGGGTCCATGTGTGAAAGAGATAAAAAAAAACTCCTTGCTCAGGGATTTTTAAGGACACTGGGGAATGCATTTTAATGCCCTTCTTATATCCCAGTGTGTTCCTGAGTTGATAATCTGCCGTGCTGCACGTGAGTATGCAAAATGTGATAAATGGTGTTGCTTACAAATGGCATATTTATTAGTTCCTAGTGCATTGTTGTGCTATGCTGAGGCGCAATGTGCTGAGTAAAGCATAAAACAAATTCCTGGTTTGATTGATGAGAATACCAAGAATAACACTTGAAGTATATAAAGGGAAAAATGCAGACGGATGGTGCTCAAAATAAAAATAGTTGATAAATGACATGGTTTCAAACCAACAATAGACTCAAAATCAAAAACAATGCTTCTATTATATTCCAGAATGTCTGTAAGACTGTTTAAATGACGTTTTCGATTTTCTCCGAAAAGGGGTAGATGTCCGATTCGTAAGTGAAATGTCCAAGAATCTCTGTGTGTTCATGTGATTAGCTACCGGCACCCAATGTATTTTTCAAAGTACTTACTTTGCTCAAGTATTGTTAGACATTTATTGAGTCTCAACAACTGATCGGTTTCTGAGAGCAGTGTGATCTGATTCAGACAGTGCAATAAAACCTCAAGCTCTGTTGAGCCATGTGCACGAAAGCTTTCATCACAACCCATTTTGTCCAATACTCTCGATCATTTAGCCATTTAGCTTCTAATATTTACGTCTGAGTGTGCCTCAGTCAGAAGTCAAGGGTGCACTTTAAATAAAAGAAAAAGAAACCTGTTTGGTTCCATGTGCCGCCTCAGAGAGATTTAAAATAAATTGCTGATTTGAGAGCAAAAAATTTGACTGAAAAAAAAAAATGTTTGGAAGGGAAAAAGAAAATGACTGCAGATGTTATTTCAGACCTTTTTGAAGCTTTCTTCGTGACAGTAATGATATCCTTTTACCCCTTAAGAAAACGTAATGTTGAAGAGAAAAAAAATCCCTTTCTGAGTCATTGTAAGGCTTTTGAAGTGCTTTTGCTTTAGAGAAAATACATTGGTCACCCTCTGCTTTTCATTTCCATTTCTTTTTTTTCGGTTTCCTTCATTTTGAACTGGGCCAATCAGGTGGTGTCACAATTAAAATCAATCTTCCATTAAGGACAAGTGGCTGTGCCTGTCTGCAGCTCTTACCTATAGGCCCTCATTTCAGCCCTTCTCTGAAAAAGATCCATCTTTATTAGTCCTCCACACTGCAAAATCAATGGCAGCGCTCCTTCATAAGAAAAAGAGCCCGGGTGAACTCGGGTTCTCTCATCTTTGCAGTTTTAGGCTCACCCATCTCACCCTACTACAAAAGACAAGCCACTCAGAGAGACACTATAGAAGGTGCTGGAAATGGCTTGAGCAAATGAAACATAGTAATGGATCATACAGTAAAGCTTCTAGGATTTAGAAAGACTGAAGCTATTTTCCAAAACTTTCTGGCATCATAGATGCTCTTATGCAAAAACTGTTTCAAGAGATTTAATTATGATGCCGTTTAAGATACCTCTGTTTGGTCAAAGGGATCAATGACATTCATTTTGTTGTCCAGTTAGATTTTCTTCTTCTTCAAAAATACATTAAAAATGCAATTTATAAACAATCATTTGATAACAGCTTTTTCACGATGAGCATGTTTTGAATTTCTGAATTAAATTAAATTCTTTATATATTTTTTGTGGGGAATATATTTAGGAAAACTGCGCTAATATTATAATATTAAAATAATATAGGGGTGGTTTCCCAAACAGAGATTAAACCTAGTCCTATATGGGCCTTTAAACCAGATTAACAGAAATCTGCTTTCTCTGTCGTGGTTTTAAATAGTCCTAGACTTGGTCTAGTCCAGAGTTTAATAAGCTGATTTCCTGGAGGAAGACTATAGAGCTACTGCAGGACTAAATTGAGGCTTAAATTAAACCT